GGGCGCCCTGCGCGCGGGGAGAGAAGCCGGCGGCCCTGCCCCTCCGCCCTGGGCGGTCAGCCCCCGGCGTTCGGTGTGTTTCCTCCCCTGCGCTCCTCCCTATACCCGCGCTTCAAATAACGTCAATAAATGGCAAATCAGAAAGGGGACTGCGGGTTACAGACTCATAAGCAGGGAACCGTACTGTGGGTTCACCCATCCACAGCTGGTGGCTGCTCATTTTTACCCCCCACTAATTTCTTTTGCTTCTTAGGGTAGCCGAGCAATAGGGATGTAATAATGTAGTCAATTTACTGATAAGCCAAAGCTTATAGGGTAATGCTGTAGACCAGTGTGTCCCAATTTTATTTGTGATTTGTCCTTTTCATATGTGTTCATTTTTTTAATTGTATCCTTTGGTATATATGGTTGTGACTATTTTCTTCCACTATTTGATCTGAGGAAGTGGGTCTGGCCCACGAAAGCTCATCATCTAATAAACCATCTTGTTAGTCTTTAAAGTGCTACATTGTCCTGCATTTTGCTCCAATTTTATTTGGGTTAGTCTTTAAAGTGCTACATTTTCCTCCAATTTTATTTGGCCTTTTAAATTCGAAAGAATTTTGTGGAACCCCTAATAACAGTAATATATGGAGCTGAAAAAGTAAACCACAAATAAGTAAGGATAATAATAAACAAATGCTAAACAAGGTCATGAGCTCAACATTTAGTTTAATTGCACATATTTAAAAATCACATAATATTATTTTTTAAATCATAAAATGTTATTGTAATGGAATTTTTCTGCAGAACCCTTATTTTCACTTTGAGAACATGCATTCCTCCCCCTCCCCCCCGCTTCTAAGTAAATTTTTTAGCAGGCTGGGCCAGCAATCTGGTTTAGTCCTGGTTTGCAACAGGTCTGGGACCTATCCCTGCTGTGTCTCTGCATTTAAAGTGTATTAGGAGCTGGGCTGGCAGGCAGCCTGGCTCAGTTCTCCTGGCAGACCAAGTTCCACCTAGCACCCTATGCTGCTGCCTCTGATACAAAAGTAGCATCTCTGAGTGGCAAAGGGCTCCTTGGAAGTGGAGCCAGAGCGCTCCACTGGCTGCTGGCCCCGCCCCTGGGTACTGTAGAATAGTTGACTAACCAATAAGAATTCATGAGGTTACTTGACTATTCAGTTAACTGATATTTAACAGCCCTAGTCTATAACTGGAAAAACTTAAAAAACAACAAATTGTTTAGCAGCACCTTAAAGGCTAACATGGTATCATGAGCTTTTGTGGGTACAACCCACTTCTTCAGATGAATGTAGATAATTTCTTTTGGTTCCTCAGAGCTAAATATTTAGCCCATCATTAGCAGAGTAACAGAGAGGAGAATATCACACTGGAGGTTAGTGCTCAGAATAGCATACGTAGCTGGAAGTTTGGGTGATACAGTATGGGGAGCATGGTGAGGGAGCAGGGATTACATTCCCATTCACCAAAACACAGCTGAGACAATTGCCACAAAAGAGCTGGAATGTATGAAGGGGCATGATGAGGGGACCTGTGGATACTGAAATGTGTGCACACGGGATGTGAGAGAGAGCCAGCAAATTACGTTTTTTTTCTTCACTCTGTGTGCTGCATTCCGTCCCCCTCTGGCTGGAGCCACATCACTGCGAGTGCTGGGAACCTCTGTTTCCATGCTGCCTTCTCATGGAGGCTTCTCCCCCACAGCTCCCATTGGCTGCGAATTGTAGCCAATGGGAGCTGCAGGGGGTAGTGCCTGTAGATGAGTGTGGTGCCATGCAGAGCCATCTTTTTTCCCCACCACCACCAAAAGGGAGCTGCCCTAGGTAAGTAATTCGCATTCCAACCCGCTGCTCCAGCCCTGAGCCTGTTTCCTGCATTTCAACTCCTCCCTGACCATGCACCGACACCCTAGCATCTTGTCCTAAGCCCCTCTCTTACACTCCAAAATGCTCAGCCCCAGCTGGAGCCCCCTGCTGCATCCCAAATACCTCATCCCTTGCTCCATCCCAGAATTCACACCCAGAGTCAGAACCCTTCAACACTAAGCCTGCATCCCAAATACCTCATCCCTTGCTCCATCCCAGATTTCACACCCAGAGTCAGAACCCTTCAACCCTAAGCATCCTCCCACACTTTGAACCCCTGGGCCCCACTCCCGCCACAGATCATCCAGGTGCAAAAATGAATTTTGTTATCTTTACTAATATGGAGGTGATGTGTCACACTTGGGGGGGGGGCTTATGAATACATAAGATAGACTACAGATAAGTTAATAATATGATTATAATGACCCTTCTGGTCATAAAAATATTCAAAGCATAATTTTCTTTTCAAAACAAATATAAGTATCTGCTCATTATCAAAGATGCATCAAATGGTCCTTCTGAGTTATTAAACATATCCTTGTTTGGGATATGTTATTCATCATCATATTTAACTCGGGATTGTCCCCATTGGCTCTCCCACATTTCCCCATCCTTCCAGTCTCACACGATCCATTTCTGCATTTTACAATCCTGTATGGCATCCTTTTTTCTTTGGACTCCACACTAATTCTGTATTCGTCTAAGTAGTCTGTCTCCTTTACTGTGTTTGTTGGCTTTGTGGATAAGCCTTGGTGTGTTCCAGTATTGAAAGCTATTGTCTAGACTAGGGTACTCATAGTCACAGCTTCCCTACTATGCTAAGTTTGTTTTTTCCTTTACAAAATTATGCCACGTTTGTAAGGCATGATCTTTTTGTGACTCCATGGTGACTGTTTTTACAAATGGCAGCATTTCTCCTATAAAGTCCTTCTCTCTTCTGCTTCTGATTACTGTGTCCTCTAGCAAATATTCCTTCTACTTTCTCTAGGAATGTGACTCTTCAATTGTTATCACCTCTAATACCATTAGCTCACAGACATTTACCTTTCCCCACCTCTAATACCATTAGCTCACAGACATTTACCTTCCCCCCCCACCCCCCCGCATCCCTCAATTGTATCCTTTGGTATATATGGTTGTGACTATTTTCTTCCACTATTTGATCTGAGGAAGTGGGTCTGGCCCACGAAAGCTCATCATCTAATAAACCATCTTGTTAGTCTTTAAAGTGCTACATAGTCCTGTATTTTGTTTCAGCTACACCAGACTAACACGGCTACATTTCTATCATTTTTCTTTGTCATCTATTCTACTGTGACTGAGTTCCTGTGACAGTTGAGAATTGCCCCTTTCCTATTTTTTTACACATGGAACCAGAGTTTTCCTGACTGGAGGTTTCTGTTTGAAAGAGGTCAGTCTGGCTCTGTGTCAGAAAGCAACCCTGTACTTGTTCTCAAAATTGCTATGCTACTTCTACAGTGAAACTCTATTGGCTTCAATGCAATTATAGCAGGGTTGAATTTGACCCTGATTTGTGACTTTGTTGTTGAGATTTCCCATTACCTTTAGTATGTCCTGTTCACAAGTTATCTTGGTTTTAGATATAGTCTGATTATGCTGTGCCTTCAGATGTGGTTGACAATGCAAAATCTTTCTACCAGCTTGTTTGTTGTGCGCTAAATTTTCAAAAATTCCAGCTTGTAGTTTCAGTCATTTATGCAGGGGGCTATAATCTATAGCTACACTGATTTCCTGTCAATTTAAATAAGAAAAAGATACAAAAGTTTGGAAGTCAACAATTGTGAGCACAGTGGATGGGAGTAAAAGCAAGTGGGGAGAAAATAGCACAATTGTCCGTATCTTGTATGCACCTGTCAGGCCTCATGTTTTATGAATGTGAATATGCATAACTCAAAGACACTTTAGACAAAAATGCATCATATGACATTTTAAAGTTACTGAATGTTAATATTCTATTTCTGTGCATGTGTCATTTTTATGTGAAGTTAGAAATATGAAGTAGAAACCAGTTTTATTAATCTAAGAAGTCTTGTAGTGAAAGTCATTAGTGGTATTTAAAGAAACTTACAGGCCTGGTGCTCAAGACAATGATCTATACATGGGTTTGTTTTTCCTGTATGCCTAACTGTGGTTGGTCCTAGAAAAACATGTGACCATATGTCATGACCATGAGGGATGGCCAGCAGCCTAGGGACTAAGGGGTTAACTATGTCCCTTACCTAACCAGGTAGCAGGCAGCCAATAAAATGTAAGTAGGAATTTCAAACTGGGACAAAGGTTTTTGGAAATAAGCAGCAGAACAGCTCCTGCGCAAGAGGGGTTTTTTGTGCAAGAAGGAGCAGTGTAGACATCTCTTTCATGCACAAAAGCCCCTTCCGCAAAATGACAGCTCATTAGGTATGCAAATGAGGAACGGCAATATTCATCGGCATGCCTCATTTGCATATCTTCTTGTGCAACAATGCGCAGTGTAGATGTAGCCTTAGTATATTAGGCTTAACTGGTATGTTTTGTTTGTTTTGGCTCAGTAACTTACTATGATCTGTCTGCTTTCACTTGTTAATCACTTAAATCCTACTTTTTATACTTAAAAAGTCTTTTGTTTATCATCAAGCCTAGTATAAATAATTGTTACTTGGGAGGCAACCACTGTGCATATCTCTCTTTCATTGACAAAGAGGACTAACCTTATGAACTTTCTCTGTGTAAAACTTTTATACAGAATAAAATTGATTTATTTGGGGTTTTGGCCCGTTTTCGGGATTGTGTTCCTGGGTGCTGTTAATGGCCCTATAGCTGAGCATTCCCAGAGCTGAGCTGGTTCAGTGTCCATGTTGCTCTGCTGGGGAGATGTTACCCCAACTCTGCGTTGTCTGGGGAGACCAGAACTTCTGGTCCAGCAGGACAAGATGGGGGGGTCCCCTAGAGAACAGATAGGCAGGCTCAGTGGCATGATCAGCATGCCAGGAGACAAGCCAAAGGGGACTTCTGTGATCAAATCTATCACAACACCCATCTGATTCCCAGAAAATATAGCACAAAAAAGAGAGGGACTAGAAATCAGTCCCTAAGCTACAAGAGAAGCATGCAGAAGACCAATACACTGAGCTGCAGATAACTTAAGAACCCATGGACAGATGCAGTCATTTAAGAATTTATTTTCCTGTACATGACAAGAAGAGGGAAAATAACTCACTCCCCCAGGAGAGATACATGTGCAAGCCAAAAGGAAACATAAAGGCTACGTCCACATTGCCCAGTCTTGTACAAGAACATATGCAAATGAGGTGCGGCGGTGAATATTGCCACGCCTCATTTTTATACTTAATGAGCTGCCATTTTTGCACAAGGGGCTTTTGTGCAAGAAGGAGCAGTCTACATTGCTCCTTCTTGCGCAAAAACCCTCTCTTGCTCAAGAGCTGTTCTGCCTGAAAATAAGCAGCAGAATGGCTCTTGTGCAAAAGGGCGGCTCATTAAATATGCAAATGAGGTGTGGCAATATGCAATGCAGCACCTCATTTGCATATGTTCTGGCAATGACTGGGCAACGTAGACGTAGCCAAGAAGGATGGAGGTGATCACATAAGAATGTATCATCTGAAGATTAACATAATGTTGAAGTATCTAGTTTGTGGTCTTTGTGATTATGCACCGGTCACCAATGTGGTTGCCTCCCAGGATTTAGAGGATAGCATTTTCTAGACAAACAGAATAATAAAAGAGGAACAAAAATATCGCTAAGTAAAGATAAACACTGTTATCATACAGTAGACGGTACAGTGCTCCAAGTAATTGGTGGGAGAAGCATGGTGAAGTAAGGATGTTAAAGAGTGGTTATTTGGTGCATCGTGTAGTCGATACAATTTGTATTGATTATATGATTGGTTGTTAAGGGGAACCTCTCTGCAGAGCCGCAACGGGGATAACTCCCAGAGCCAGTGCGAGCTGGGACTAAGCTGGGACAGGCAGCTTTTACTACATTTAAAATGCAGAAGCGCAGTGGTCCTGGACTGATGCAAGCTAGGACTGCTCAGTCCCAGCTTGCACCAGATCCAGCAGGCTCTGTTCGCGGCGGCCCAGGCTGGCTGCTGGCAGGGCCTGCTGCTGGAGCAGCCCCTGTCTGTGGGGGAGGGAAGCTGCCCACTGGAATCCCCGTGGAAAGGCTGCTGCCAGAGCAGCCTCTGCCCATGGCAAGCCTCAACCCACCGCAGGCAGATGCTGCTTCGTGGCAGTTCTCCTACTCCTCCATCCACCCTGCTACCTCTGATAATGGGGAGCAGGCGGCACTGCGGAGACAGTGCTGGGGGGACCAGCTTTTAAGCCGGTTCCCCCCAGTGCCAGCTCCTGTTCCCCACCCCCTTGCTGCCGCTCATATAGAGGCAGCAAGGGGGTGGAAGCGAGTAGTCGAGTACCCGATAAGCTTAACCTTATCGTGTAGTTGAGTACTTGGCTACTCGCTTACATCTCTATGGTGAAGTCAAGCACACAGGAGGGGAAGTGAAGTGTGATTCGTTCATGTTGGAGGTGGAGACACAAGATCAATTGCCTGTACCTGCATATTGTTCAGGAGCTCACTATTCCTTCAGCCACTGTTGTCTGCGTAGTCGAGTACCCGATAAGCTTAACCTTATCGTGTAGTTGAGTACTTGGCTACTCGCTTACATCTCTATGGTGAAGTCAAGCACACAGGAGGGGAAGTGAAGTGTGATTCGTTCATGTTGGAGGTGGAGACACAAGATCAATTGCCTGTACCTGCATATTGTTCAGGAGCTCACTATTCCTTCAGCCACTGTTGTCTGCCATGTCACCTATTGGAAGCATGTTGCTATGACAACAATATGCCCTCCTAGGAAGGTCACTACAGGCTTCCATGTCACACTGCAGCATGTCACAATAACTCCACCCTGGGCACACCCTGATATTGCAGCATTGTGACTTTCCTATGTCTATTCACAGGAGCACCAGAGCTGATCCAAAAACGGACAATCTACAAGGAATGTGTGACCCTAAGAATACCCCCAGTGCTAGAGAGCTCTCTGGTATGTAGCAGTGAGACTCATCTTGATTAACCAGCTCAGTTCACCTCACACACTGTTGTCATGGTTTTAATTTAAAAGGTGTCTTGCAGCATATTGCTGGAAAACTAGCATCTCACTGATCATTAGTAGCCTTATGTGTAAGTATATGCATGATGTATGATTAATGCATAAAGAATTACAAACATGTACTGGAAATATGTTTTAAAATATGCTTGGCCCTAAACAAAGGAATGTGGTTTTATCTGCTTGAATATCAGTTTTAAAGTTTAAGCAAGGAGAGATCATGGAAGTATATTTAAATAAAAGGCGAACAAAGCCATCCGACTGGCAAGTGGGGGAGAAAATCACTTAACCAGCAACTGGCAACCTATGTTGGTGAGTGGGCTGCATGAGTGGCCCTCCTTCATCTCAATGGAGATGAAGATTTTCGTAACCCAAAAGGTCTCCTGGGATAGGGTAGTTTGCTAACTAGTTTTGCACTTGTTTTGTACCTAGTATTTGCAGGGCATGCTGACTGAACCATAGCAGCTCTTTGACTGGATGCAAAAGGAGCACATCGCTCTTACAATCAATGTTGTGTGTAATCAGCATGCATCTCACTTTACATTCCCTGCTTTATGAGTGTGTTACTTTCATAATACCAGTAGGAATAAAACTACATGGACAGAAACCAGCACAATTTGGCAATCCTGCACGTGGGAAATGGTAAGCAAAATGTCTTGTGGGCCACACATAGAACTCTGATGGGTTGCATTCAGCCCCCAGGGGGCATGTTGCCCAACACTGCACTTAACTATTACAGTGGGAGAGGAGACTGCAAAAATTCACATGGCATCAGCTGCCTGGGGAGCACCTGGCCTTGAAAACAAAGATAAACTTTCAGAATATCAAATTTGCGCACTGTCAGAATGGGTCTGAATAGAGACATGGAATGGCTCTCTCATTACAATAAGTAATTTTGACTACAGGTACTCTAGTCACTGTTGGAGGTGAGAGACATCCACCCTCATTTAATTAGTACTGATGTTATACTCCTATCCCTGTATTCCTGCCTCTGTATACAGGAGCTGACTCAGCATCCCATCACTCATCTCTCCTCGCCCAGTAACTGGGAGGTGACTGAAAGTCAGGCAGTTGGTACAGGGTGTCAATTAACTAAGTAGCGATATAACTGAGGGAGCTAATGGAGGGGAAATTAACCCTTTTTACCTCTCCCCCACTCCACCCAGCAACTGGGATTATATAAGCAGGCAGGAAGGATGTGCTGGAAAAAAGAATAGGTAGGGCCTGGTTAGGCTAGCAGCAAGGGGGAATGCTGATTATTCATGGTAAATAACCATATAGCAGGGTGGGGAACCTTTTTTGGCTCGGGGGCCACTGACCCACAGAAAACTCAGTTGGGGGCCACACACAAATGAGAAAAAAAACCTCATTGATGTGGCACCTGACTGAAAAAGAGAAAGACACTCCCCACATTTCCCTCATACAAGAGAGCCGAGGTGGGGGGAGAGATGTCGTCCAGGCTAGTAGACTTTCTGTGCTCCAGTTCTGTGGTGGAGTAGCAGGGGGACTGGAACACAGGTTCCCAATGCTGGGGGGCAGAGGCGTAGCGAGGGTGTTATGCACCCGGGAGCAAAAGCAAAATTTGCCTCCTTCCCCCCCCCTGCCGCCATGTGACAGGGCCCCAAACCTGGCGCACGGCTGAGCCCGACCCTGGGAGGAGTGGGGGAGCTTGTACCACATCTTCCACTGCCCCCTCCAGTTTGGGGAGGGCACTATCACGCTGTTGAAAATGGAGGAGGGTGGGGCTGGGGGAGAGAGGTGGGGAAGAGGCTTCAGCAGGCGGTTTGGGTAGAGGAGGAGCAGGCAAGCCGAAGGACGATGGGGGAGCGGAGGGGCAATTACCTCCCCACATCAGTGAATGTAAGAGATTAATTTGCCTGTTAAAATAACACTCAGAAAAACTTTTAAATAAAATTAACACACAACACGAGAATCATCCTCACTTTTCAAGGAGCTTGGTCTGGGTGGGACATAGGGTGCAAGAGCACGCTGTGTGTAGGGTGTCTGGCCAAGGGGAGGGAGCAGGAGCAGATTGGGGTAGGTTGTCTAGCTAGGAGGGAGGGTGGGGACTTGGGTAGGAATTGGACCTCCCTGGTCGGGTACCCTCTGGATCTGACTGGTCCCAGATGAGGGAGTTTTTGAACCAGGAAAGGTAATTTCAGGGCTCCTGGTGCCACCTCCTCCCCATTAGGCTTCTTTGCACCTCCATCCCCTGCAACCTAGCTGAGCTGCCCACCCCCGCTGGTTCCCTGTGCTTCCCCCACAGCCATCCCCCACAATCCAATGGAGCGCAGCACCAGCTCCCTGCACCCCCTTGCAGCCCAGCTGAGCTCCCCACCCAGCACCTTGCCCCTCCCACAGCCCAGGTGAGCTCCCTACCCAGCCCCTACCTCCAGGCTGCAGCAGCTGTTTCCAGGACATTTTCAGTGTTTATGGGGCACTGGGGCTGTGTCTAGACTACACCTCTCTGTCGACAGAGAGATGTAGATTAGGCACGTCGAAATTGCTAGTGAAGCAGGGATTTAAATATCCTGTGCTTCATTAACATAAACATGGCCACCGCTTTTTTTCAAAATGGAGCTTTTTCGGAAAAAACGGCAATCTAGGCGCGGATCTGTCAAAAATAAACCCTTTTTTGAAAGATCATGTAACCTTCAAAAAATGAGGTTTACAGTATCTGTCAAAAAAGGCTTTATTTTCAACAGATCTGTGTCTAGATTGCTGGGTTTTTTCGAAAAAACTCCATTGCAAAAAAAGCGGCAGCCATGTTTATGCTAATGAAGCATTATTTAAATCCCTGCTTCATTAGCAATTTTGACATGCCTAATCTACATCTCTCTGTCGACAGAGAGGTGTAGTCTAGACATATCCCAAGAGATGAGATTAAAATTTGCAAATATCCTGGATTTTATGGGGCATATGGTCAGCATAGGCTGAACGCTCTGCCTTCAAACATATAAAGGACCAATCAGTAAAAGCCCCACTGCCCGGTAGAGGCGGTCTTTGAATAAAATTGAATTTACTTTTTCTGACAGCAGCGCTTTCTCTCACTGAATGTGGGGTCTTCAGCACAAGTTTCACTTTATGTCAGAATAACTCAGAAATGTGTCGTCACAGCTAATTCCATTCAGGTCAAAGCAATGTGCACCCCAAAGAAAGAAGAACAAATTTCTCGAAACTGGAAGTCAAAACATCTCACCTCTTAACAGAGCTCACAAAGGGTCTTGTTCACCCAGAGACATGAATCATGACAACTCTCTCTGGAGAAGACCGTACATCCTGCCTCTCTGTGGACGCACCAAGTGTTTTCACGTGGCATCTTTCCATGCTGTTTAAATCGACTGCTTGGATGAGGAAGACTCACAAAGAGTCTGTCCATTATCCACACTAGAGCAACATGGTGATTTCACCATCATGGAAACAGACCCGATCTCTCTGTGGGCTCTTGTGGAGCAGCAGAAAGCCTGTAGCAATCTCTCGGGGGAGAGGCCAGGGGTGCCTCTACTGCAGTGGTTCTCAAACTTTTTGGCCCGTGGACCACGTGTCTCAATGTAAACCTTTCCGTGGACCCACCAGTTGCTAAGGAATATACAATGGTGGTGCCTCCACCTGGCTGGCCTTATACACACTTACTGTGTGCCTTGAGAGCTTCCAGGAATAAACTCATTCCAGTTATAATCTGGATCTAATTCCAGAACAACAACTACAAATCATATACATCTAATAGAGTACATTAAAATAAACAATCTTTACTTAACTTAAATAAACAGGGTTTAACAGATTAACAATGAATAACATTAACAAAGCGCACAACAATAATTGGAATTTATATATCTAGCATTTGCACTGCCAATATTGATCCCACCCTAGAGGGTGCACACCCCTGCACTCAGAGTCTCAGACTGCTAGGCCTCTCTTCTCATGCACGTGGAGAGACCCCGGTCTCCCACACCAGAGTCACTTCCTTCCTGTTTTTCCCAAGGGTTGATGGGAATTGTAGTCTGTGAGGCTGGGTTGCAGCACACAAGATCTTTCCTGAAAATAAGCAGAGGCACCTTTAGTAAGGGAACTACATGGCTGTGTCTACACTGGGCCACTTATTCCAGAAAAGCAGCCGCTTTTCCGGAATAACTTGCCAGCTGTCTACACTGGCTGCTTGCTTTTCCGGAAAAGCAATGACGATCTACTGTAAAATTGTCAGTGTTTTTCCGGAAAAACAATGCTGCTCCCGTTCGGGCAAAAGTCCTTTTCCGGAAAAACTATTCTGGAAAAGGGCCAGTGTAGACAGCACAGTAGTTTTTTCCACAAAAAAGCCCCAATTGCGAAAATGACGATCGGGGCTTTTTTCCGGAAAAGCGCATCTACATTGGCCACGGATGCTTTTCCGGAAAAGCTTCCTGCCAATGTAGACATGCTTTTTCCGGAAATACTTATAACGGAAAACTGTTCTGTTTTAAGCATTTCCGGAAAAGGGTGCCAGTGTAGACGTAGCCTATGG